AACCCACACTTGCCATGCCCCCTGTGGGGCCCTATTTAGGGCTTCTCATCCAAGCACTCACTGGGTCAGGTGCTCGGCAAGCAAGTATGGATGGGGTCTCCCAAATCACAGTGCTGAGTCTCATGAGAGGTTGCTTCCCAGGGGAATCTGGCCCTGCTGTTTCATTTTTTAAAAAAATAATTAATGTTTTTAATTGATACATAATAATTGTATATATTTATGGGGTCCATGTGATGTTTTGTTAACGTGTATGCAATCTGTAATGATCACATCAGGGTAATTGGGATATCTGCCACTCCAACAATTATTATTTCTTTATGTTAGGAACATTCCAAATTTTCGCTTCCAGCTATTGTTCTGGAATATACAATAAATTTTTCTTAGCTGTAGTCACCCCGCTGTGCTATCCAACACTAGAACTTATTCCTTTTATCTAACTGTATTTTTGTCAACCTCTCCCTATTTTCCTGCCACCTGCCACCCTCCCCAGCCTCTGGTAATCAATATTCTACTCTCTACTTCTATGAGATCAACTTTTCTAGCTCCCGTGTAATGAGAGAGAACATGAAATATTTGTCTTTCTGTGCCTGGCTTATTTCACTTAACATCATGTTCTCCAGACTTATCCCTGTTGCTGCAAATGACAGAATTTTATTGTTTCTTATGGCTGCATAAAATTCCATTGTGTATGTATTCCACATTTTCTTTATTTATTCATCTGTTGATGGACACTCAGGTTGATTCCATATCTTGACTATTGTCAATAATTCTGCAATAAATATTGAGATGCAAATATCTCTTTGACATACTGATTTCCTTTCTTTTGGATATATACCCAGTAATGGGATTGCTGGAGCATATGGTATTTTTAGTTTTAGTTTTTTGAGAAACCTCCATACTGTTTTCCATAATGACTGTACTAATTTACATTCCCACCAACAGTGTATAAGAGTTCCCTTTCCTCTGCATCCTTGCCAACATTTTTATTTTCTATCTTTTTGATAATAGACATTATAACCGGAGTGAGGTGATATCTCATTGTGGTTTTGATTTGCATTTCCTTGGTGATTAATGATGCTGAGTATTTTTTCATATATTTGTTTGCCATTTGTAAGTCTTTTTTAAGAAATGTCTGTTCAAATCCTCTGGCCCAACTGTTTCTAAATCCCAAAAGTGCCCTTTTAGAGCCTGGAGGTCTGGGGCCTGCTCTGCTCACCTGGTAGCAACAGCTTTTGCATGCCACACCCCAGTCATTGAGGTGGAGCTGTGAACTCAAGGGCTGATGTTTAAGGAGATGAGTACATTCCTGGATTTGTGGGCCCCAAAGCCACACCTTCTCCCCAAGGACTGGCCCTGGCCAACCTCCTGCCAAACTGTTTTCCTTTGTGGTCTTCTTATCCCACTCATTGTTCTAGTTCTGTTTGGGGCTCAGCCCTTCTGGCCTGTCCCCAGATGTGGCTGTATTTCCTGGCCAATGGGAGACATGGGGCAGGAACAGAGACAGTGAGTGTAGGGGTTAGGAGCATCAATCCTCAAATCCAAGTGCCAGGTTCAAATCCTACCTTTGCTGTTTACTGTTTGCATAACCTGGGGCAAGTGGTCTAACCTGTCTTCTCCCCTTTCACATGGGATGATAATCTAAATGCCAGGTACTGGTTAGATGTTGCTCTGTAACTAATTTAATCTTCAGTATATCCCATGAGGTGGGCTTTTTTATTAGACCTGTTTGATGATGAGGGTCATGGTGTTCACATCAGAGCAGATGTGGAAATGAAATGAGATAATCCATGGAAAGTTCAGAACAACGCCTGGGACATCACAGGTGCCCACTAGATCTGAACTATTATCCCCCATGTTTTAAGGGGAGGTCATTAAGTACTTTCTGAAGGGTGTATTCCTCATGGTTAGAGAGTGGCCCTGGGCCACCGAGATTGCCAGCCTCTCCCAGGAGACCCTGAAGGGGAAGGTGCTCTGAGAAAGCAGGAAGTGATTTATTCTCATCCCAACCCCAGTGCCAGCTTGCAAAATGATCCTCTAACTGGAGGAAATCCTGCCTTCACACCTGATTGTTGGGCTGGGATCCTGGAAGGGATGAGGGGCTTCCCAAGGCAGCCTAAACCCTTCCCGTGCCTTGTGTGCCAGGGGTGGCCTCCCAGGCAGCAGTGCTCTGGGCTCTGAGCAGATCAACAGCTTCCTCCATGGCTGCCACAGACCTTCTGTAGGCTTCTTGGGGAGGGAGCCCATAGCAACCCAAATTAAACCACCATGGAGCTGCGGAGCAAATTAACAGCTCAGATGCTTTCCCAGGGCACATGTGGGATATCAGTGAACCTCAGCAAGCCTCCCTGGTCACCACCCCGTTGTGCAGAGCAGGACTGCTGCTGTGGCTCACCCTGGGGAGGCACAGATGGGAGGGAGTTCCTGGAGACATGGGCTCTGGTCACGGCTCTGCCCTGACTGCCCATGGGGCCTAGACCAGCTCGCTCTCAGCAGTGGTTTCCTCAGGGTAGAAGACAGTCGAAGAGCAAAGGATTCGGTGTCAGACTGATATAGGATTGGGTTCCAGCCCAGCTACTAGCTGTTTAAGTTTGAGAAAGCCATGTAACCCTTCTGAGCCTCAGTTTCCTCAGACCTGTGGGGTGCTGTGAAGACTGAAGGAGATATGCTGTCGTCGTGCGTGGCTTCATGTCTGTACCTGGAAATGCTATTGAATGTCAGTGGTTATCATCAGGAAAATGAAAGCTTGGTCTAGAGCAGGTTCTCAACCTTGGCTGCACATTAGAATGAACTGGGCAGCTCTAAAGACTAGCGGTTGCCAGGTCCCACCCTGACCCGAGGGGTCAGAACCACTAATGCTCCACAGGTGGCTCCTATGGGCAACCAGAGCTGAGGACTGCAGATCAGGATATGTCCAGGTTTTACTTCCCAACCTAACAGCCTCTGACTTGGCGTCTCTTCTCCTCAGGGCTCCTCATTTCTTCCCTCTGAGCATGAATATGGACCCAGGAGGTTTTAATCAGGCGGGAGGTTTTCAGCACTCATGGAGGCTCACCCCATGGGTCTGGGTTTTTTAGGCAGCATCGCTTAGCCCCTGTCCATCATGCTCTTGGAAGATTCCCCTGGGGCTCTCCTCTGGCCAGTCCCCAGCCAAGGCAGTTGTGTGCTCCTTCATTCAGTCTGGCCTCATGCTGTTTGAGCTCAAAGCTGTTCTGAGCTCCTAATGGCCTTGGTTGTCCACAGAGGCTGTTCTCTTCATTTTCTGGCTACCATGTGCCCTTGCTCTTGGCCTTTAAAGGGGGCCGTGGAGAGGGGCAGATGACCTTGGGCTCCCACTGCCCAGGCCTGGAGAAGAGCAAAGAGAGGCACCTGCTGCTTTGGGCAACAGCCATTCCCCCTGCCCTCTCTGGGGTGCCCATCATCAAGGGGCGGGGTGTGGGTGTGAGTGACCACACATGGGGCACCATCCAGAAATGGATCCCTTGTGTAGTGGATCAGGGAACATAGACTTTTAGAACAGAAGGTACACTAGAAAGTGTATTGTCCAGTCTCCTAAATGGAATAGACAATGAGATCCAGAGAGGGGAAGGAGACTGCCTGAGTTCCCACAGTGAGCGACTGGGACCAGGTCTTGGACCTCCCGCCCCTTCCTGGACCACACTAAGGGGCAGGAAGAGGACATGCTGAAAACCATCCCATAAAAATAAATGAACCCTCTTCTTTACCTTTCTGATTGAAATAATGTGTAAATTCTCCTTCCACCAATTTCCTTCCATCTAGGCAATGGAAATTGTTAAAGTTATATGTAAAATTTTCATTGAAAGTGGCTTGTAGTAATCTATATAATGGAATTCTATATTGTCATTAAGAGGAATAAAGTAGATCTGTGCTGCTATCTCCCAAGCATAAAAAGAAATGTGTGTGTTGATATTGCCCACGTAATTATCACAGGATCTGTAAATTTCTGCTGATGCACAGCACGGCTTCCTTTGTGGTTACAGAGTGTGCACACGTTGGGGGCAGGGTGTGTGTGGGGGAGTGTTGGTGCACTAGGAAAGCATCAGCAAATAAAAGGTAACTTTTTGACACCTCTCTAGGTAGAACAGGTAAAAGATTTAACACCTGTTTTTTTAAAAGTACAATTAAAATCTCCATCCAGGAATCCCACCATATACTATTACATTTGTAATGAAATTGCCTAATACCCAAGAACAAAAGGGGAAGAACTGATTTATTAAATATCTGTTTTGTGCCAGCTACTATACAAAGCATTTTTGAATACAGTCTCTTCCCTGAAAGTTTGAATTAAATGGATAGTGATAGGAAAGAAAGAGAGAGGAAGAGAAAAAGAAAGAAAGGCATGCAATACTACTTCTGTGCGTAAAAAATAAGATTATATATATATGTAATATGCATGAACACATAATACATAGCACATGTGTGCATGGAACATTTCTAGAAAAACACAGGATACAAAGTACAGATACTAGAGAGAGGGACCAAAAGTCTAGAATGGGATGAAGATCCACCTTTCATAGTGTACCCTTTACACCGTTTTTATGTTGTATCTTGTATGACCTGTTATATATTGAATAACTAACCAGATAAATAATGAAAAGCCAGCAGAGTCTATGGATGGTCTATTTCTAACTACGCCTTTGTGCAGGTACTTCAGGAGGTTACCTTCAGCTAGGAAGTCTGCAGTACTCTATGTAGGAATCAGTTTCAATCTGTGCTTTATTTCTGAGCCCAAACCTTGCTTTCTACCCCCAACTGATTCAGGGAGGGAAATGATATGGACTGAAAACTGATACGTTATTTTAAGTTTGGCTGAAATTCCACCTCCTTGGCAGAGTTCTTTGGATTTGTGGTCTGGCCCTGAGATCGCACTGCTCTGCACCTGCCCCTCTGCTCTGACTTGCATATTGCCTGCCTTATACTAGACATGCAGTGCTGACCTATGGGCAGAATCCCTGCATTATGCCTGTGCTCCCTTCTGCCAGGTACCTGCTGGAACAGGATTTCCCAGGCATGAGGATTGGGCCTGAGCCAACTACGGACTCCTTCATTGCGGTGATGCAGGGAGACATGGAGGGGATCATCCCCGGGAATGCACTGGTGGTGGATCCTAAGAAACCCTTCCGGAAACTCAACGCCTTTGGCAACGCCTTCTTAAACAGGTGAGTGTGGAGGAGGGGACACAGTGCCTCCGGTGTTCTCTTCACTTCTTCCTGGAGTATGGGAAGTGAAAGGACAGCAGCAGGGTCCTGGGAGGTGTGGTGTCTTTTCCATACCTAGAGTCTCTCATTGTCCCTTGCTCACGGGGAACGTAACTGAGTCAGTCGCCATTGTGGAAGGTGGGAGCTGCAAATGCTGGGCTGATTCTGCCTGACCAAGGAGTAGGGAAGGGTACAATGATGACTTAGTCACATTCCCCTACGCTGCACTTCTCCCTAATAAAAGCTAACAGGGATCCTCCATAGAGTTCCCAGTATTTGCCTGTACCATGGCTGGGACTTGCATCTAACTGGAAGGAGGCAGAAGAAGATTCTTTCCTTTTCCTGGACATTGTTTTTACTTGGTGGAAAGAGCCCTGGACCTAAGGGGGAAGCCCTGGGTTTGAGCACTGACTCTCCTACTAAACTGTGTAACCTTGGACAGGTCACTTCCCCTTTTCTGGGTCAAGTTCAGGCCTGCAGATACCAAAGTCGTCCTGACAGCCCAAGTGGAGGAAGCTCTAGGAAATGCTTGGCAATCGAGTCTGGGCCTTCATGTTGTGATTCTGCTTAACTAGAATGCAGGTGACTCCCTGATTGTACTTGTCACACATATAAATCCAATTTTACATGTGCATTGCACTTAATAATTTTAAAACTACTTTTTCTAATTGGAGGGATTTAGAGTACGGTTTAAAAATGTGGGTTTTGACTTCAGATAGACCTAAGTTCAAATCCTGCCTAGGACTGTGGATCTTCAACAAGTTACCAAACTTCTTTGTATCTAACTTTCCTGTCAATAAAATAGAATAATAGTAATATCTTCTTTCAAGGAGTTGAAATAAAAATAAGTGAGATAATGGACAGGAAGTACTTAGCGTCTGGCACACAGTAACCAAACAAGAAGTGTTAGGTTATCATAGTATTATTATCACATATTTTTCCCTTGATTCCCTGATTATTCAGTGATAGTAATGGGCACCCGCTGTTGCCGTTTTTCACTTGAGGAAGTTGAGGATCACTGCCCAGGGGATTCTCAACATCTCTTATCCTGAGTAATATTTTTTATGAAACTATGAATTTGTCTCTGACTTTTCTTGTAGTGGCATGGAGTCAATAACACTCCAAGACAGGGACGGGGAGGGGACCGTGTGAATAAATTATGGAATTGCAAGTGGGCAGGTGTGCTCCCAAAGCAGTGATGCAGAAAAGCTCACACGGAAGTCAGGAAATTGGCCTGGCAGGTAGCAAAGCCTCAGGAGTTTGGCCTGGCATATGCAGGGAACGAAACTGTGAACTCAGTATGAAAAGAATAAGGTAGTAGTGGTGTTAGGTGCATTGGGACAAGTGTCCTGGAGTCCAGGAGTGTCTCTAATACCTGGAGCTGAGGGAAGAGGACCCAGGCGCCCAAGATGTTGAAATGCAGAAACAGATGGGGGCAGGGATAAGCCTAGCAAGAAAAATGAGTCAGAGGTAGATGGAGGCAGGGACATCTGAGGGAGGGGGTGGCCAATTGAAATTTGGACCTGTTGAGTTTGTTGTGACTTTGAGTCAGCTGAGGAGCATCCTCCTGTCTGAAGGTAGAGATGAGGAACCCGATCTCAGGTGAGAGGAGAGAAAACCTGGGGTATACAAGAGGTAATTGGGATCACTGGAAGAGAGGAGTACAGGTTTAGTGGGTAACCCCATTTTGGGATAATTGTGCTTGTAATGATAATAGTATATTGTATTATATGTAATAGCATATAGCTTATTATGATAACGGAATTTATGCAATTGCAATTATTTGCTCAGTGCGTTCCTGAGAGCCTTTCTGTCATTAATCAAACCCAGCAAGTCTTGCTAACTCCATTGTTAAACGTACTGAAGCCAGTAGGTGTATGGGAGGTGGGGCTGAGGGTGGTTTACTCTGGGTAAAGACACTTAACCTCTTTGAATATTATTATTGTCATCTATAAAATGATAAAATGCAAATTGCAAATTCTCTGTGCCCTAATCTCTTCCTGCAAATGTTGTAGAAAGAAAATCTGAGAAAGAAAGAAAAAATATATAATGTGGTTACCTGTAATTGTTTACAGTTCTATTTAGGGGTGAAATTGAGGGGAAAGAAAGATGGAGGGAAGAAGGGAGCCCTTTCTATTTCATTTTATGCCTTGCTAGACCTTTTTTTTTTTCTTCCAACTGCATTTCTTTTACAAAAAATAATTTATAAAGAATATTATATGAAGGTGTTATGGAAAAAATAACATGCACATATGAGTGTACTTCAAAAAGTTCGTGGAAAAATAAAATTGAAAGATAATATGAATTTTTTTTATGAACTTTTTAAAGCACCCTCGAATAAAGTGACAGCATTAAGAGGTCTGGAATCTCTCTTTGAGTCCATGATTTCAATAAATAAGATGTGTAGCCCGATGAAGCTGGCTTGGCCGAGGCCCTGTATTTCCAGAGTGTCCTGTTTGGTGTCTGGCCTGGACAGGCAGACATGTGGCCATGGTAAGGGCTGTTTCCCTTGTCTTCTTGCCAGGTGCCTTGCATCTGGGGATAGAATTCATGTTTTATTTCAACAGGCGCTGGGCCCGGTCAGCCTTGGCTCAGCTCTGTGGGCGGACGTCAGGCTCAGGCGTGCAGAGAGCCAGTGACTACACAGGCAGGAGGAGCAGCAGGGCTGTTGAGGCCTGTGTGGAAAAGTGGGCATTTGACAGGGGCATTAAATGATGAGTGAAATGACACCAAAGTGTTTTTTTTTTTTTAAATGGGCATTCCAGGCAGAGAAAACTGGGGAGAAAAATGAAAAGTAGTTTAATGCAGGACCCCTACGACCAGAAGATTGATGGCATTGCAAGCTTTTGTGACTTTTCTACAGGAGCACACAATGGCTGAGCCGATGGGTGTTTAGATTGCCTGGGGGTCTGCCAGGGACTCCATTGGAAGGACAACTGGGAATGGGGTGTTGTGGGGGGAAGAGAGCTCTTCCATATGCCTCCAGCTTCACTGCAGCCTGCACAGGGACACTGCGCTACAGATTTTCGGTTTCCATCCCTGTGCTGCCGAGCAATCCTATTTCACGTCCCTTGTCAGCTCCCACTCTTCCTTCTCCTCTTGAATAAGGCTTGACTGTTATTCTAATAGGGATGTTTGGTCTTTAGGTACCCAAAAAAACATTCCCTGGTGATATAACCCATCTTTCAAGGCCAGCTCCTGGGCCTCCTCCTCTAGGAAGCCCTCCCTGGAAGCCATCTCTCGGTCTTAGATCTTCCAACCCTTTCATCTGACTTCCCTCGGGGTGCTGATCCCATTGCACCTTGTATTATGGTTGCCTGTGTATAAGCCCTCTCTCTTCCACCAAGCTGTACTCCTTTAGGGCAGAGATCAAGGTCTGGACATTTGGTGTCCCCAGCAGCAGGGGTTTACAAGCATGAACTATGGCTGTCTCAGGATCACCCCGGGAGCTTCCTTAAAGCACAGATCCTGAGGTGCACTGCTGGGGCTCTAAGTCTGGCCTTTTCTGGGAATCTGCCTTTGAAGCAGCCAGACTTCTGATCCTCTGCCCTACGGCACCCAGCATACTGTCTTGCATGGCGTAGAATTCCAGTAACTTTTTTGAATGACACCCCATTTACAAATGAGGACACATATGGAGAAGTACAGTGACTTTGCCAATGAGGATTGAATTAGAAGGGGGATCCCCACACTCTGACTCTGTGTGCAGTGATGGTTTGGGGCAGACCCTCGAAGCTCCTCCTGCCCCTGACCCTAGCTGACCATTATGAAGAGGAGGCAAGGGTCTTCTCACTGGCTATTGAAAGAAGCTGAGGTTCCAAGAGAGTCAAGCTAAGTGTAGTCACTCAAGGCAGGAAGGTAGGTGACCAAGGACCAACTAAGGTCTTGGGGTCACAAGAATCAGACCAAGGCTTTGGTCACATGCAGGTGCAGGGCACTCCAAGACAGGGCATGGGCAGAGACAAGAGAACTGGGGTTCTTCTGCCCCTGGGTCAGTTGTCAACCCCAGCTCGGGACTGAGCGCCATGCAGCTGCGGCTCACCCGGGAGGGAGACAAGAGGTAGGAGTCATGGGGCTGAGCCAGGGAAGGGGGGTGAGCGGCTCACTGGCTTCCTCTGGCCTGTGCAGGTTTGTGTGCGCCCAGCTGCCCAACCCCGTGCTGGAGAGCATCAGCGTCATTGACACACCAGGGATCCTCTCTGGGGAGAAGCAGAGGATCAGCCGAGGTAAGCGAGCCACCTGGAAGGGCCATGTGTGTTCCGTATGTCCTCTTCAGGTGTGGAAGAGATGCAGCCAGGGCCTTGCTGTCTCTTCTCTTGGATCCACTGTAGCTGAGGAGATAGTCAGCCTCAGTCTTCTCATCTGTGAAGTGGAGACACCAATATCTGCCTTACCTCATCGGGTTTATTCATTCTCCAAGAGGCACCTTCACGGGCCAGACCCTGGCTTGCTCCTCATGTTCCTGTAGCCTCAGCCCCCCAGGAGCAAATGCATCTGGAGAACTTCAGCTCAACAGGAGGGTGCTGTGGCCGAGGATGGCAGAGGACTGCAATGTGCTGTGGGTCATGAGAGGAGGGAGCTGGTATGAGAAAGCACTCTGAAAACGGTCCACTCCTGGCAGACGGGGGTAATTGCTCATTAAGGGCGGTCATCCGGCATGGTGGTTAGGAGCTAGAGCTCTGGAGCCAGACTGGCAGGGCTCTAGGCCTGCCTCTGCCACATCATAGCAGAGCAACCCAGGACAGGTTCCTTTACTTCAATTGCTTCATCTGCAAAATGGAGAGAAATAGTACTATCCATCTTATGAGACTGAGGATTAAAAGAAATAATAGAGGTAAAAAGCTTCCTGCCTGGCACACAGCGAGCATCCAGTAAACATGAGGTGTGATAGATTATCTTCCTCTCCATCATCACTGGTTTTTTTTCTAGCACTAAAATGCTAGACTGATGCTGTAAAAAGCTAAAAACATCTGCTCCTGGCTCCCACCCTCAGCCCCTCCTGTGACAATTTGCTGTGTGCCCTGGGTAGACTCCCTCCCCTTTCTGTGCCATGTGTTGTATCTGTGGCAAGAAAATCAGATAAAGCTGAACTGACCCCAGTATTGGAGCTGGTTGCTGGACCTGGAGCCAAGTCAGCACTCAAGTCAGCCTCCGGGAAGAGATGGCTTTGGACAGGCAGGGTTCTCTGGGAAGCAGCTGGAACACTCGCCCAAGTTGACCTTAGGTGACTGTCTGCTTCCCGGCAGCATGCTTCTCGGCTCCCGGGGCTCTGTGGCCCTGTGGCCCTGGCTGGGGCAGACACAAGTCTGTCCTGCCCATGTCTGTGCCCCTGTAGTGGGGGACCAGAAAGCCATTACCCCAACAGCATGGCCTGCCCAGGCCAGCGCCTGCTCACCCCCAGGCCCTGCAAGGAGAGTCGACGGCCTCCCAGGGTGACAGGCAAGTGGTCCCATGGCTATGCACGGATGAGGCCGAGTGTGCAGGCCCCTGGCCCACGTGGAGGCCTCTAGTGCCAGAGCTGGGCTCTGCCCAGCGCTCCTGCAAGCCGCCTTGACCTCCTCTCTGAAGAGAGCAGCTGTCTCCCGATGAGGGCAGGTGTGGGGTGACAGGACCAGGCTTGGCTCGCTGGTGATACACTGTGTATGTGTGTGAGTGGCAAAGCCAGCCCCGGGGGGTAGAGACGGAAGACAGCAGAGACGCCTTCCTGGTCAGCAGCCTGCTTGAGGGCCAAGTTAACCCCAGGCTGTCCTTAAGGGAAGCCTCATCTTGGCGCAGGTTGGGAAAGGGAGAGGCTGAAAATCCTGAACGGGGGGAAAAACCCGCCCCCAGCTCTCCTCCCCCTCCCTTTTCACTTAGGAGGTGAGATCTGGGAAGAAGAGGAAGCCGCTGAATCAGGAGGGGACGTGGGAAACTGTGTTCACAGTTTGTGTCATTGGTGGCATATGAGCCCTGGGACATCGTCCCCGGTGAAGGCAGCCTGGAGAGACTAGGTCCTCTAGCTGCCTAACTGGGCTGTGTGGTTAAGGTGAGGGGGACCTGGTCTGAAGCTGAACTCATGCGCGGGAAGAGGGGGGTCTCACCTTTTCTCCTGCCGGCCTACATGCCCACTGTAAGCCCCTGACTCCCTTCCTGCGGAGGGCAGCTCAGGTAGTTCTCTGTCTTGCTTCTGTTTGTTCCCTAAACACCCCTGCCCTCCTAACCAGTCCCACCCCACCCCCGAGTAGTTCATCTGGGCTCATGCTGAGTTAGGCCTAAAGGAGATTTATGATTTTGAAGAGACAGCCCATGTCTCTTCAAGGAAGGCTGGCTGGTGGGAGCGGGGAGAGTGCATGTGCCCCTGTAAGGCCAGTGCAGCCTGACAGGTGGGTCCAGCGAGGACTCCAGCCTCTGGGGCTTCCAAGGGCACTGGGCAAGGGGTTCAGAGTCCTGGCCTTAGAACCTCTGTGGGTCTCAGCAGGTCACATTTTTAGTGTCCCCATGTGTAACAAGAGATGATATGCATCACGTAGCGTTCTTGTGAAGTCCACAGACCGTAATGGAAACACAGACCTCAGCTCTGGGTCTGAGTCACACCATGGTGAGCTCCCTTCTCTCCTTCCCTGCCAGCCAGGGCTGCCCATTACACAGCCCCGGGTTAACCTATGTGAGGGTCTCCCTTGTGGTTGTGCAGTGCTCAGCCTGTGCAGCCGTATGTGGCAGCCCTGCTCCCAGGGACTCCTGCCTTCCTCAGCTTCTATCCCATTCCTTTCTTCTGTTTTTCCACTGTTCCTCTGTGGACCTCAGTGGCTGCCCTGAACACATTGGGTGCTTGGTGCTCTTGCCTGTGCTTCCTGTCTCCTCCCTCTTCACACTCACTAAGCACCAGTTTCTTCTCTGCCCTCCTGAGTCCAGAGTGTAAATGCAGCTGCTGGCAGAAGCAGCCTGCGATAAAAACAAGCGCCAGGAGCTGGGCTGCCCGCAATGCGTTGGCATCCTGGGGCAGTGCCGGCCTCATACTCTGAGACCAGAGAAGCTGGGAGGAGGGCACCAGACACCCTCAGTTATCAGTGGGACCCCAAATGAGAAAAGTTTCCAGTGTGAAGAGTCCTTCCTGTCCTTCTCCACAATTGGCTTCCCCACAAGCCCAGCTGCAGCTGATACTTAGACGCACAGACCCTGCCCCCGTACACCTCCCTCCACACACACCCACAGAGGAGGGGACTTGAAAAAGTTCATAGAAAAATTCATATTATCCTTTAATTCTATTTTTCCACAAACTTTGTGAAGTACCCTTGTATACCCACATCTCCCACCCCACACACGCATATGCACACCTCCAGCCCCCAACAAGCACATGCACAGCACCAAACCGCTTTGCCATGGTTTCTTTCCAAGGCTCTCAGAGCTCTGGGTTTGGCCACAGAGTGGATTGGCCCTTCTTCCATTCCTCTAGCCAGCCCCAGGCAGGCCAGGGCCCCGGCGGCTAGTCCTGCAGACCAGACCTGGTGCAAGGGCACCTGGCTGAGGGGCATATAGAGCCGGGAATTCAGCTCACGTTCCGCTCACTGAGCCTCATGCCTGGCACAGGGCTGTGCCTCACCAGAAAAAAGGGGCAGCATGATCAAGTCAGCACACGGGCACCAATGGGCAACAGGGGACTGCCACATTCTGCCTGGCAAAGTATGGTCCTTGCTCAGGGTGTGGCCCCTCTGCCCTGGCCTGCAGGGGGTAGGGGTGGGGTGTCTTGGGGGGAGGCTGAGTCCTGGAGCTCCCAAGCCAGCACGTGTCTCTGGGTGGCAGGAGAGGCAGGCAGGGAGGCAGTTTCTGAAGTGACAGGATGTGCCTGGCCCCGGGCCCGCTTCTGGGAAAAAGCAAGGATGCAGCAGAGGGTGGGAGGCTCCGGAAGAAGCCTGGGCGTCTTCGCGCTCAGGAACCACGATTCCCGGCTGCTTGTCAGCTAGAAATCCCCACAGGCCCCACCCTAGAAAGGCAAGACCTGGGCCTTTATACCCTCAGCACAGACTGCAGGGCCACAGCAGGTGAACGCTTGTCCGGGTCACATGGTGGAAATGGGAACTCTGGTCTCCCATGGGCCAGTGGCTTCTAAGCACAGTACCATCACCTGCCCAGGAAGAGGGCAGGGCTAGAACTGTGGGCAACACCCTCATCTACAGGTTTCCTCTGGGGGTCTTCGGGGCTCAGAGCTTGGAGGGTCTAGGCTTGACCCTCACAGCCTCACATCCCTAGTGCGTCCCTTGGCACCCTCACTGGAGCTAGTCCCTGTGGGCACTCACATGCCCAGGCAGAACAGCCAAGTGCTGACACACTCCAGGAGGCTTGTGACCACCTGCTCGGGCCACTTGTGATGGTTACTTCTGGGAGAAATCTAATGTGACATTTGTTCCTCACTGTCAGCCGAACTCTTCCCACATTATGGAAATTGATGCCTTTTTATTTCTCTTACTGAACTGTCTTTAAATCTTGACAGAGATTTTTGGGGAAGAGATAGGACTTTTTAGGTACTGCACCCACTGCAGGTAAGTGCCTGGCTAGAGGGCTGAGTCCTCTGAGCTCCAGGCTCACACTCCGCTCGGCTGTGAGCTGAGAGGAAAATGGGGACAGCCAGCCCAGGATCGGGGTTCTGGGCCTGAGTTTGCCTCCACCCAGTGGCCGTGTGAGCTCCGGCAGCCCCTCCATCCCATGTCCTGCTCCTCCGCTGTAAGATGTGTGTGCCCTGTTCACCTCCTGGCAGACGGAGAGTTATGAGGATGCAGTGAGGTCGTGTGGCTGGAAATACAAACGGCATGTTAGTGCCCTCAAACTGCATTTCAGACCATGAAGGAAGCTGGTGGGTGATTAAGGAGTTGCTTTGCTTATTGTGTTTGTCTCATTGATTTCCTCCTGCCTGGCATTACTTAGAAATATTTATTTTCCAATCCTCTGGAGCCTAGGGGTGGGGGGAGCCACAAATCACTGCAGGCTGCCCAGTTTCCGGGCCTGGAGCCTGCCAACCAGATCCCTTAGAGCCGGCACACTTGCTAGTAGAAATTCCAGGATGGACAGCTTCTTTACTCTGTCTCTTAGGGCTTGAATCTCCCCTTGCCCACTAGTCCACATTTCATGATTCTTCGAGCTCTCTCAGGTGGTCTAGAGCTGCTATCGTGGGTCTCAGAGCTGTTCCTGGGACCAGGGAGGGGGAGGGGGCCTGTCGTTCACCCCAGACGTCAGGGCAGAAGCGTCACAGTGCGACCAGCCCTCCCTCTGCTGCTGAATCTTGTTGCTGTGATTCTACTGGACGCCTCATTCAATCGTCATTGTTATCCCCATTTTACAGCTGAGAAAATTAAGGTTCAGACTTGCCCAAGACCATGCAGCAAATAAAGGGGAGAGCTAATCTTATGCCATTTTCCTTAGTGGGTCCAGTCTGTGCCTTTGAGATGCCTCCATCCCTGGAGATGCACATAATCCAGTCTGCAGAAATAATCAAATATCCATCCTAGAGGTTACATCAGCTTTGAATTAGCCAGGAATAGGGAGGCTGAGCTTCAGAGGAGCGCTGTGGAGTCATTGTTTGATTCTCCTGGTCTTCACAGCCACACCTGGGGAGAAAGCTCCTGGCATTACTCAGTTTGTACTTTGGTAGCAGCTTGCCAGAACATGCAGAATTTGCAGAAGTAGGAGGATAACCAGGAGGACTCTGTGCTTATAAAATCAAAGAAAGGGTTCCCAGAAGCCATCTGCCTGTCCTCAGGCAGGAGCAGACTTCACATAGGCATCACCGAAATGTTTAAGACAGTGGCCTGCAGCCTTCTTTTCTCACTGTGCCTGCAAAAGCTTCCTTGTGTGTAATCTCCATCCATCCTGCTGTACTCCCATTTGTGAACCAAGAAAGGAAGCTCAGTGATCACCCAGCCCAACGCCCTGGTTTGACAAGCAAAGAGACCGAGGACTGAGAGGGGAGGCTGCTTGGCCAAGGACGCACAGCAAGTTAATGACTGAGCAGAAACTAGAGGTGGTCTGGCCTGAGCCAGTGCTCCGCTGTTGACCCCTTGAAAGCACATCCCATCTCGTGGAAACTGGTGCTTAGAAGGAGCTCTTTATAAAGGGGGAGGGGCAATAACAACAGCCAAGGTCACAGCCAAACAATTTCATCTGCGTCCTCTTATTTGATTTGATCCTCACAACTCAATGACTGAGTCACTGGTTGGTTCCAATTTAGAGACCAGGAAACAGGCCCAGAGATGACCTGTCTACTGTCTTCCCGATGTGAAATGCAGGACAGGGCTCCCATTTCAGTTCCATTCAACAGATACAGATAGAGCACCTGCTGTGTGCTGGACACAAGGCTGGGAACAGGGGAAACAGAGGACCAGGAGCTGCCCCTGCCCTGCCCAGCTCCCGGTGTGGGGCAGTGGTGGGGGATGATTTCAGTGGGCTGAGCAGTGGAACAGGTATACGCATGAGTGCTACAAGACCACCGAGGGGCCCCCGACCCAGCTGGTGGGGGGAAGAATAGGAGGAAGGCTGTCCCGTTATGGACAAGTTGCTGCCACTCCCCCACCCGGCCCAGAGCTGGGGGCTCTCAGGTTGCAGGGATTTTCCCCTCCTTTTGCAGACACAGATTCCTCTTACCTCGTTGGTGTCATCAGGAGCTGGAGCGAGGTTGGAGGGCTGAGCCTCTTCTCTGCAACTTCTCTGCATCTTTGCTTTCCCCAGTCCCATGGAGGACTGCTGCAGTGTTGGGCTTGGGGCTGGAGACTGATCCTGGTCCTGACTCTGACCCCTACTACTACATGGCCTGGGGCCCATCTCTCACCCTCTGTAAACTATTTCCTTGTCAGGAAATGGCCCAGCACCAGCTGCTCTGGCTGCCTTAGCCAGTTATGAGTGGCTGCACCGTTGAGTGGGCACACTGTGTGTGCCGTTGAGGGCTCGAATTTGCTGGGCAGGTGGGGGCAGCAGCAACAGTTCCCAGCGGCCTCTCCCCAAGGCCTGCACCGCTGTGGCTAAAATCCATGTCAGGCTGGATTGGGGAACAGGTATCAGCAAAAGGCCAGAGGCCTGGAGCCCTTCTGCCCTTCCCACCTGCTGTGGAGGGATGGGCTGGGCTCACTGGCTCCAGTCACCAGAACAGTGAAGCCCTGACCTGTTTCCAGGGATGAGGTTGGGACAGGAGGGCTAGGTTGTCCTGATTTTCTGAGCCCTCTAGTCCCTTTGCCCACAGGTCTGACAGACTGCCTTTGGGAGGTGAGGGCAGCACTGCCGTGGCTGTGCTGAAGGGAAAATAAAATAGGCTGGAGCCCTCCCTGGCGGGGGAGGAGCACGGGTGCAGGGTGCAGGCCCTCCTGGCATTGGAGTGCTCAGGACTCCTGGGCTCTGTGGAGGAGCTGGCTGGGCCTGTGGGCCAGGGTGGCTTCCAAGTTCAGATGCTGCTGCTGCTTGCAGCTGTGCAGCGAACCCAGGCCCCTGCGGCTGGCTTTAGGTGGCAAGTTTTCCTGTCCATGCTAAGCCCCTCCCACCCCCATGATAATTCTTTAACATACCCTCAATATGTACCCCTCTGGATACTCAAAAAAGATCACATGGGGAAATGCATTTAAAACCCATCTCCCCTGGCCCCATCCACCTTCATCCTCCACCCCATCTAAGCCTGTAGTGCAGTCTAAAGTGACAGCCAGGACAGTGTAGTGGTTAATAGCACTGACTCTGGGGCCACCTTCCTGGATTAGAATCTCAGCCCCACCACTTACCAGCGGGGACCTCAGACTAGTTACTTTACCTCTTGACCTCTCTGGTTACTCATCTGAAAAATGGGGCTAATATTAGTATGTATCTCATAAGGTCCTTGTGAAGGTTAAAGGACTTCATGATTATAAAGAGCTTAGGTCAGTGCTGGGTACCTTGTGAGAGCTGCTCACAAGTGGCTAGTGCTACTATTGTTGTTATGGACCAGTGGTTCTCAAAGTGTAGTCCTTGGACCAGGAGCACCAGCATCTCCTGGGAATGCTCCACCCCAGGCCTACTGGATCAGAAACTCTGGGCATGGGGTCCAGCCATCTGAGTTTAGACAAACATTGCAGGGGATTCACATTCAGGCTCAAATTGAGGGTACTGTTACAGACGGTCAGAGCTTCTGACTCAGTCACAGGCAGTTGTCTAATGACCTTGCCTGCTCTCTAGTCTCCCTCCTAGGTCCAGTCACAACCTAAAGAAAGCCCCTGTGGTTTTAAAAGTTGAGAATTCTGTGCCGCAGCTGATGAGTAAGGAAAGAAGTGAGCTCATGAGCATGAGTGAGAGCAAGCTGTGTGTTTTTATAACAAGAACCACAGATTTCTTCTAGCGCAGTGCTGGGCTTGCTCTGAGCCATCTTACGTTTTACGATTTCATGGTTTTCAGGCCTTGGAAAAAATTTCTGAGTCTTTATATCAAATGAGGTGTCCATACTTTCTTTTCTAGCAGGGCCCCTGGCTGCTAAATACAATAAGCAAAGATGGGGAGTTGGATAGTGGCTGTGCTTTATGGGAATGATGATGTTAATAATAACAACTAGCATTTACTGAGCATCTACTAAGTGCTGGGCTCTGAGTGTATTTAATCCTCATATTTATATTAATTAGGTATTATTACTATTACGGCCATTTTCTTAGATGAAAAAAACACTAAGAAACACTGAGTAACTTGCTCAAGGCCAAACCGTTAAAATGTGGAGGATCCAGGTATGAACTCAGACCTGACTCCCAAGCATGTTATTTCTACTGCAACTGACTGCCTTGCCCCAAAAGCCTTAAAGTCCCTCCCTTGACTGTCCCTCTGCCGGCAGGGTATGACTTTGCAGCTGTCCTGGAGTGGTTTGCTGAGCGGGTGGACCGCATCATTCTCCTCTTCGATGCCCACAAGCTGGACATCTCTGATGAGTTCTCAGAAGTCATTAAGGCCCTCAAGAACCACGAGGACAAGATGCGGGTGGTGCTGAACAAAGCTGACCAGATCGAGACGCAGCAGCTGATGCGCGTGTACGGGGCCCTCATGTGGTCGTTGGGCAAGATCGTGAACACCCCGGAGGTGATCCGGGTCTACATCGGCTCCTTCTGGTCCCACCCACTCCTCATCCCTGACAACAGGAAGCTCTTTGAGGCTGAGGAGCAGGACCTATTCAGGGACATCCAGAGTCTACCCCGAAATGCCGCCCTGCGCAAGCTCAACGACCTCATCAAGAGAGCCAGGCTGGCCAAGGTGAGGCTTCCCCCTGGGGAGATGGCAGCAGAGGCAGGGTCAGCTGCAAGAGCTGAGGGTTGCTGCTTCCAACCACGAGGCTACTGCCTGTCCAAGTGAGAATGTCCAGTGGCCACCGTGTCACAAGTGTCAGCCACCAGCTCTGGCACCTGGGGGAAGAATGGTATAGTGGTTACATGTACAGGCTCTGGGGTCAGGTGTCCAGACTGGGGCCTGACTCCACTGTTTACTACCTGTGTGGTCCCCACCCCCGCAGGCCTTTAGTCTGTCTGTGCCACTTTCTATATCTGTAAAATGACGGCATCGTTGGAGTATAAAGTGGAGTAAAGAATGTCAAAGCCCTCACCACAGTGCCTGGCACCTTAAGAAGGGCTCAGCCAACATAAGCTGGTGGTACTGACTTCAGGAGCCGCAGCAGCACCAACATAACCATCCCTGTTACTGCCTTGACATTAGCTTCCCCACAACCTCACCTTGCCCACGTGATGGAGAACAGCCCAACTCTGCAGACAACATGGCAACGAGAGGGTGGAGATAGAAATGACTTCAAAGGAGGAGCAGGAGGAGGGGGGAGGGACTTACGGGAGGAGATGGGGTGAGAGCAAGCCCGAGAGGAAGGAATAGCCAAGGGTCGTGATGGGAAGGTTTCTCTCTGGCCCTGTTTGTCAGGTCCACGCCTACATCATCAGCTCTCTGAAGAAGGAGATGCCCTCGGTGTTCGGGAAGGACAACAGGAAGAAGGAGCTGGTGAATAACCTGGCTGAGATCTATGGCCGCATCGAGCGGGAGCACCAGATCTCACCTGGGGACTTTCCCAACCTGAAGAGGATGCAGGTAATTAGGGTCTGGGGCTCTGGGACAAGGGACAGTGTCACAGAGCTGGCAGCCTGAGTATGGAGGAGGCCATGCTTGCAGCCCCCAAGGGGAAACTCAACCCAGAATCAGAAGGCAGGGAGGTGGCCCTAGATGTGTCCTTCCTGCTGGACTGCCCCTGGCCCAACAGGTGCCATATCTGGGTCTGGGGAGAAACACGAGCCCAGTGCCCCAGGGGAGTGTTAAATGGTAGTTGGGGTGTATACTTCCAGTTTATTACCTTCCCTAGTCACAGCCACTATAAGCTTGACATCCCCACTATCTCCTGAGGAATGGGACAGGTCCCCTGACCAAGGTCCTCCAGGCCCTTAAGTGCTTACATTTACCTCTGAGCCCCCCCCCCTTAGGAGTGGTTTGGGACATAAGCCACAGAGAGGCAGAAGTCCACATGGAAGCTCGCCATCTTTGGGGCATACTCCAGGCCCCTGTCTTTGGCCAGGGACCATCACACATGGTTTCTCACGGTTTTCCCCAAAGCAGTCCTCGGAGGAGGGCATTTTCATCTTCCTTTACAGATGAGGAAACTGAGGTCTCAGTGTTTTTCACATATAGCATCCAATAGGCTGCAAGTAGAAAAGCCAGGAGCTGTCCCCAGGGTCCAAGCAAGAAACCACCACACCCTAGTGACTGGATTCTCTCTGAGCCTCTGTCTCCTCATCTGTAAACTGAGGCTACCAAAGCGCATATACAGGTGTTGTGAGCATGAATAAAATAATATTTGCAAGGCCCTTGGCACGGAGCAGGGTGCAGACTATGCCCTACCTGAATACACAGCAGCAATCGCCAGTGGTGGAAGCTGGGCAGTGAGCACGAAGGACCTACCCTCTACAATTTCTGCAACTTCTGTGATTATATGGTTATTTTAAAATAATTTTGTTTTTAAATTAGAGGACTAGAAAACCAAAAAACAGTAGCTGCAGAAGTAGTAGCAATGATGTTGCCCTTGCTGTTTTGATCTTTGGGTTGGGAACCAGTTTCTCAGTTTAAGAGTACAGTTTTCAGAACATCACGATAGTGCTGAAGAGGCATGTTTAGTTTTCTATCTAGTAAAATAAAAATTTTTAAAAATACACATTCTAAGGTTGCATTTATCCATGTCCCCATTCATTCATATTCCTTCACCCTGCCATAAGGCAGTCAGTCATTTCAACATTGCTTTAATATAATTTGGGTTTCTCAATCAGCCGTGGCTTGGTACGCTTCAGCTCTTCGTTTCTCTTTCTGTTAAGAATTTAATGACCTGTAAGCAAACATTTGGGAAGATGACATTTGAAAGGGACCATACAACCCCTTGTTTCACGTGAGGAATCCTTTTGCAACATGAAGGATTTCCATCTTCTCGTTTGCTTGCCCGTGCAATGCTCTGCTGTGTAATTAGGTACGCTGACTCAGTAGTGTCAGCAGCTGTCCTGTGTGGGTGGACGTGTTGGGTGATGGGAGTCCCTGCCATGCCACCCTGGGAGATGTTGGGGCCCTCACATGGGAGCCCACCAAATACACCTAGAAGGGAAAAGGCTAGGAGAGACAGGAGGATTAGAGGAGGGGAAAATGAGTTGTGCCCTCAGCTGGAGAAAAGCCACCGTCTGTCCTGCCTCCACCCCGCCTCAGCCCCCACAGCCTCCTGCTTAGCGCTGCCCTAGAAGGGAGGTGGGAAGTATCCAGGCTAACACTTGCTCTAGAAATGTAGCAGTGTGTGTTCTCTGGATTTTTCTGCAGTGACCTCAATGTGCTTGTCCCTGTGCACTGGCCTTTTCCCAGCGTCGTGAGACACTATGGCCAGAGCAAGGACAGGAGTGGACAGCTCTCACCTTGTCAACCTCTAGAGGCCAAGACGTTGGGTACTCTAGACTCAGGACCTTTCAATATTGCACAGACCTGTGAAGCAGAGCATATTTCTTTTATGGTGTGGCATGGGTGGTCCTGTGAAGACAGGAGGGGAGCTTTTCCACCCACTTGGAATGCGATGTGCCTACCCCAGAAGGGCAGTGGGGGACTGAACGAGGTAATTTAGTGAAAGCACTCAGTGTGACATGGAGACCCACACAGCTCAGTCTCCGAGGGGTACAGCGTCAAGAAACACCTTTCAATAAGCAAAAGTAACCTAAAGAGAAATTTAACTATTTACTCTCTGAAATAATATTAAAGGGGATTAAAATAAATAGGGCAAACCAGTATTTGTTACAATTCTCTTTCTTCCCCAGCCCGTGTTCTGCTCCCTCCTGAAAAACTCCATCATCAGCCCAGCAGGCCTTTTCCTCCTCCCCTCTCATACCTTTGATGATTTTGTGATGTAGATCAGCTTAGCTTCTAGACCAAACTCCTTTCATTGGAGAAAAGAGCCAGCTGTGAACGTTCCAGCATTATAGCAAGCGCCCTCCCTGACAAACAGACCTTCCTTCCAGCATTAGTAGAAAGTGCCCTCCCTGACAAACGAATCTTCCATTGTATTCTGTTTGCACCTTTTCTTCTCTCCATCTTCCCAGGACCAGCTGCAGGCCCAGGACTTTAGCAAGTTCCAGCCACTGAAGAGCAAGCTGCTGGAGGTGGTGGATGACATGCTGGCCCATGACATTGCCCAGCTCATGGTGCTGGTGCGTCAGGAGGAGATACAGCAGCCCATCCAGATGGTGAAGGGTGGAGCGTTTGAGGGCACCCTGCATGGCCCCTTCGGGCATGGCTATGGAGAGGGAGCCGGGGAGGGCATTGATGATGCTGAGTGGGTCGTGGCCAGGGACAAGCCCATGTACGACGAGATCTTCTACACGCTGTCTCCAGTGGATGGCAAGATCACAGGCGCTAATGCCAAGAAGGAGATGGTGCGCTCCAAGCTGCCCAACAGTGTGCTGGGCAAGATCTGGAAGCTGGCTGACATTGACAAGGATGGCATGTTGGATGATGAGGAGTTCGCGCTGGCCAACCACCTCATAAAAGTCAAGCTGGAGGGGCATGAGCTGCCCAATGAGCTGCCCGCCCACCTCCTGCCGCCATCCAAAAGGAAAGTTGCTGAATGATGGGGACTAGGGACTCAGAAAGGCAGGTGTTAGAGGAGGGGACAGGAGAAGCGACCATACATGCACACACACATGCACACATGCATACATGCAGATCTTGAGAACTACACTGTAGATGAGAGGGGACAGCGAACCCCATGCTTCCAGGCTGACCCTTGTTTGGATACATCCTCAAATTCTGGGGATTGGTAGAAGGACAGGAGTAGTCCCATGTTCCAGGGTTCAAGATTGTGTCTCCAAACTCTTTCCCTCCATCTTCCACTCCCCAGAGACCTGAGGCCATCCACCCACCCCAGGTTCCCCAGAGCCTCCACACCTAGGCTCTGAGCATATGGAAAAAGCTTTTCACTTAATAGGCAACTCACTTTAATTTCTGTGCTCCCCACCCCCTTGGCTTCCTAATAGAAATCTACTCAGGGGCTGGGAGGTGTGAGGGAAGGGGGAGCTGCAGGCAGGAGAGGTGAGGAAGGAAGCATCCTCCAGGGCACCCGTGTCCCACACTTGAAGAGATGTGGGCCCATGAGTTCTGTTTTCCTGATCTGTCTTCACCTGGCTTTGAACTCTGCAGGCACTGCATTTTAAAGAAAGTCAGAGGCTGAAAGAAAAGAGAAAAAAATCATAGGAAAGAGCAAGGAAGCTATCCTGTAGTCTTCTACTCAAAACCAGTCAAGGTGGTTTTAATCCATAGATTGTGTGAGATTCACATTCTTTCCACCTGGCCTCTGATGTTTGGATGCTGTTACGTGACCAACATTTATCCAGTCCCTCCTATGTGCCAGGAGCTGTGACAGGCACTTTATGTACATTATTCTAGGTGGACCTCACTAATGCCCCAGGGAAATATACAAAGTATTCATTCATCCCCCCATTTTGCACAGGAGGAGCCTGAGACTCAGAAGAGTTTAGGTGAGCTTCCCAAACTTACAGAGGTCACATGAGACAGGATTCAGAGCCAGGACCTCAGACCTCAGACTTCCCTGTGCTGTGCTGGGCTAGGTTCAGGGTCCCAACATTGCTACTTGATGACAAACCCTGGAGAATGAGCCAAGCATGGAGGCCCCTTCACAGTCTTCCAGAGCAAGCTGGCAAGGGAGGAGGCCTGGTTGGCATTCGGTGGGCCATCAGTCTGGCCATCTGTCACATCACAGAAGCAAACTGTGGCTTCTGGCAATGCGTGCCATGTTCCTAACATCACAGAAGTTCAACAGCGCCAGCAGGAGAGTGGGCCAGCTTGCTGGATGCTGCTTGTGCCTGTCCCTGCACAGTCTCCCACCAGGAGCCTGAATTATCCCAGCTCAGATGCAGTCATCAGCTCTCTCATTAGACCTCATGCTAATTCACAGAAGGCTAACTTGAGCGGGCTGGGTTCTTGGTCCCTATAGGGTCACCAGGGACTCTGCTGTGTCCTCGGCAAATCCACACCACTCTCAATGCCTCCTTGTCTCTCCCCTAGCTTGCTTTGTGGCCACTGAACCAATCACTTTGTATGCTGTGCTTCTATGTGATGGAAAACAAAACAAGTATAACTTATTTTATATCTATGTTCAGACTATATAGAGAATATCCTGTGTATCTATGATGTGCTTACTACTATAGTGCATATGTCCTTAGTGTTCATGTTAATACAGCACATTTATCCTTTGGTACCCATTTGGCCACAGCGCATCATTCCGTGGGAGGCTGAGGGAGGGGGGCTGGGTTCTCTGTGGTTCCTGGTAGCATCTTAAGCAGAGAATGGCTCACTGGGGCTACCCAAAGGCCAACATCCCATGGGTCTGGTGCTTCTCCGGGGCCAGTGACCAGCCCAGGCCGAGCTAGTAGAGCAGCTGCTCCCTGCCCCTCTGGTGTAGAGATGGTCCCCAAACCCCTGGGCTTCCTTCTACAGACATACATTTCTCTTTCACATGAAATGAAGGGCAAAGGAAGGCCAAGGCACAGAGTTCCCACCTTCTCTGGAGACAACCGCAGAGTGCCAGCCCAGCAGAGTGACCACTTCTCAGCTCTGCCCCTTTCTTTGAACTGCAGGAGAAATGGGAAGGAAATAGCAGAGGAAGGTGAAGTCTGTCATCATATTTTAGAATAAAGGGGGATGTCTGTTAGTCCCCTCTCCCCACCGCCACTTGGACACATGCACCATATTCCTGCCCTGCATTTCCTGCCTCGCTTCCCTCCGTTCTTCAAGACCCCACCCAGGAGAGATGTGCGAGGTGTGGGAATTCCACATTTCCCATCTCCCTGGAAAGAAGAAATGATGCTTGAGGCGCCTCTCAATGGGGGAGGGGACCGGCGCAGGTCACTTTCTCCCGGGCTATGCCCTCCAGCTCCAGCTGCCTTTGCCTCCCGACTCCTTCAGGATTTGGGCGCCTGGGGAGATCATGCCTCAGCCTGGGCAATATTTAGTATGGAAAGCAGAGACACATCATGGCAGTCCCACAGGCGAGAATCCCTAGGGCACCTGTCCTTGCTCCTTTCCCTCACACTGCTCAGTCTGGACCATGGAAATAATGCATAGAAAGAGCAACACCCTATACTGCTGACCCAGTGAAGCTTGTCCCTGGTACCGAAGAGCTAAATATGACCAAAGTATAGTCATGTACATGTGCAGTGGGCACTGCTGGCCAGTAGCAGGGCATGGGCCTCAGTTTGTGGAGTGGTGAGAGGTTGCCCTAGTCACCCCCATTCCCATTTGGTCTGCTCTGTTCCAAAAGCCTGTATTTATGAGCTAGCTCATTGGAATTAGCAGAACTATTTGAGGAGAACAGGCTTGTTCATTCTTCCTGTGAGATGCCAACTGGCCTCTATACATATCCAACCCTTTATTCTTTAATTTGGCCATCCATCCATCTTTCCTTCACTCAAAGGATGCTGAGTACCTCGTACAGAAAATGTACTGATGGCGAATATAGAGATTCATTCCTTGAGCCATTCAAAAATACTTAATAAAGTCCACCTGTGTGGTAGGGACAATTCCAGATGGATAAAATTTGAGTTTCTAGAAGATCAGAGCATCAGAGCACTCACAGCCTAGTATGGAAATGAGGCATTTATACAAACATTGATACTACAATGAGGGACCCTAAAGGGGGTGGATATAGGCAAAGCGGGGGGTTGGGAGGGTCAGAAATGGCTTCCATGTGGAGAGAAAGTGGTCAGAAGAAGCCTGGGATGAGGGTGGGAGCTTGGGTTGAGCCTGAGAAACCCTCGGGGCCAGCCTCTTGGGCCCATCTTCTTCCCTCCCTAATCTAAGGAAGAAAGGCAGGATTTTTATACAAAAATGAAACAAATGAAACAGAGCATTCCCAGCCCACCACATCATGACAGACTGAGGACCACTGACGTGTTTGAGGAAAAGCGTGATTAGAGTTTTCACGTGAAAATTTGATGGGTATCTTTAGAGTGGAAATTTTCAGTGCCTGGAGGAAAAGGAGACTGGAGATGGTGCAATGCCAGTTACCCCGGCTGAGGGCTGAGCAAGAGGGGAGGCTGTGGGCCCCGCACCCTACTCAGTCCTGCTCGCCACAGTTTGGTCCTCCTGTCCTGGCCCCAGCACGGATCGAGCCTCCCATCCTCTGAGGGTGGGTGACTCTGCCACTTGTTTTGGCGAATGAAATGGGAGTGTACAGAATGTCCCCTCCTTGCAGAGACAAGTGTGCCATTTGCCACATTCCACTGTCCCTGTCTTGCCAGGAATGCCTAGGGGAGCAAGGGTGAGGATGGAGGCTTGTCAGCCTAAGTCCTGGCTCACTCTAAACCCCTTTCTGACCTACATCGAACAGGCGGCATAGACAAGACATAAACTCTAGTCATTTTAATGTGATGCCATTGATAGTCGTGGGCTACTACCCAGCATAGCCTGTACTATCATGACCAGGAGACTTAGGAAGCTCTTCTAATAGTGTAGTCCATCAAGCAAGTGGAAAGAAGATCCTAGGAGACCAAGTTCCTGCCTTCTGAAGAACTTAGGTCACCTGAAGCTGAAGGGATGGGTGATGTGCATAAGGTCCTTCAGCTTCTGACCATATTCTGCCAAATCCCAGAGCCCCACCCTTCAACATCACTTTTTATGCAGGAGAACTTCGCACTTACAGTGTCAAACACTGATAGGACTTGCTTTCTTTCTGCAGGAATGTAGGTACTGGGGATTGGCTGGACATTTGTCTGCCTAGGGCTACACAGAGGGTTGTACAGGTTGAAAAGAGAAAAACCACAATTCCCAGACTGCCTTGCAGCCAGGTTCAAGCTGTGATTTTAGATCCTGCCAACCAGATATACTCATGGGAGACTGTGCTAAAACAGATCATGCTGGAGGTGGACCCAGCAACTATACAGCTATAACAACAGCTTCCTGGCTTCCCATCTTCCTATCTATGCTCAAGAAACTTGAGGTCTTGTTCATGAAGTTGGATGGAACAGTGCCCAACACTGCTGAGATGTCCAGAGGAGACTTGGGCTGCAGCAAGAGAGGCTTCATGGAAGGTGTAGAGGTGTGTGTGTGTGTGTGTGTGTGTGTGTGTGTGTGTGTGTGTGTGTGTGTGTGTGTGTGTGTGTGTGTGTTTGGGTCATGTTGGAAGTATATGCTGAAGTGGTTCCTGCTGGATAAGTGAAGAAGAGAGGTTGTATATGGCAGGGCTTTCCAGAGAGAATGATCCTGGGGAATTCTCAAACCAATAATCCCTTTCAAAGAATCTACAGAGATGAATGTGTGCACTTCTGGCACTGGAGACTGCAAAATAAGGACACATTAGAAGTAGCAGTTCTATCTCTTTCCCTTATAATTTTATAAAAGGTGGGTCCCCACTTCAGAAAGTATCACTGAAGCATAATGTTGGCAGCCAAGGCCTGAGGACGGGTCAGCCCATCAACACACAGACTGCACAGAGAAGAGACTGGAAAGAGCAGGGGCTGGGGAATCAGGCGATCTGGGTTTCAGCTTCGGGACAAGCCACATGGCCTCTCTGTGCCTCTGTTTATTCTTCCTCCAAGTAGAGGTCATTTCCATCTATTGGAGATCTTAGGACTCAAAGAGACAATAGATGGGGAAGTTCACCCTAATATAAGCACTCTACACAGGGGAGTTTTTCTGGCATATGCTAGAAGAGGCATGGTTCAGGGCAGAGATGAGAATCCTATATACTGGAAGGAAAGAAAGCAGCAAAGCCCTGTAAAGCCATAGAGGAAGAAGAGAATCAAAGAGGGGTGGTGGATGTAGGCAGAGCAGTGCTTACAGTGTTGAACACCTGAAAGGTGCCCAGGGCCTGGAGGCTACCTGTGAGCTATCTGCAGGCCCTGGCTTACTGGGGCCCACTGCCACTTAGGTAAATGCACAGCCCCGAGGCCCTGCCTGGCCTCCCAGCCACCATGATCCGGTGCTGACAGGGGACTGTGAATACCCAAGGTGCACTCATTGGGGTGGGTTTTGGTGGGGGGTGACATGACGGCCTGGTTCCAATGCAGACCACTAAGAACTTCAGAGGTGATAGCAGATCCTCTAGTATGTTGAATGCATGGTGTATGTTTGTCTTTATTCATGAAGTGTCAGAATCACACTATGTTGTAAGATAAAGCCTCCTTTTCTGCCTCCAGTGTTTTTTTTCACAGCAGTTTTTTAATCTTGTTTATGACAAGGAGCAAAGGCAGTGGCAAGTGCCACATCAGTGTAGAGAGGAGGTGACCCTTGTTGTATCCCAAACCCATCTCAGGATGGGACTGGATTTGGTTCACTTTGGGAGATTCTCAAACTTACTGCTGTCATGATGACACTGGTGAAATCTGTCTTCAGTCCAGGTTCCCTTTCTCACAGGCCACTCCCTCTCCCTACCCTCTTCTCCTACTCTCCTGCCCACCCCCATCCAGAGCATCATCCCTCTGCTGACCAGGCTTTCTGTCCTCTGTTAGCCAGCCATGCACGCATGTGCTCACATGCACACTCCATTCCTATCGTCCATGTCTGCTCCATTCCACACAGCTGGGTCTTGCTATGGGACCACTGGCTGCATGTGCAACCATGAGGTCAGATGCTGCTGCCATGACTCCGGTCCAAGGTATGAGTGTAGCAGGAGCCTCCTGAGCTCGGTGGCAGAGGTTCCGTCAATCTGGCCAAGAAGACAGCCAGGGAGTCAGGATCAGACTGGTCCTTGCATTTGCCACCCTGTAGGCACCTGCTTATATGCAAAATTCCCTCTGGATCTTATCTGCTTCCTAAATGCCTCCACAGCTTTCTTGGCCATGCAAAGCAATTCCCCTCATTCCAGAAAATCCTAGTCTTCAGGAACATGCCATGGAATGAAAAGATATAACTCGCTTCAGGGAAGTCAGCTGGTGCTACTTGCCCTAAGCAGAGTAACTGTCCCAGTCCCAGAACAGCTGCAGCGTGTCCTCTTGATACCCTGGTGTGTCCGAGAGCCACAGGAACTGAGGCCTGAGATAACGATAGCCCTGAACTCTTCAACGACATTTCCTGGAACTTCTTGAGATGAAGAGAAAACAAGCAAATTGACTCTGAGCTGCAGCACTTGGCCAGATGTTACTCCTTAGTCCTGGGGATTTACTTAATGTCTAGTCTATAATCTTGGTCCGGTGGTCTGTGTTAAAGAAGCCCTGCTTTATGCAGGCACCGGGGATTTCAATCAGGCTACCTTGACTGAATAATG